CGTGGTTTTTACAGGATCAAAGCGGTTTCGCTGGTGCTTAGGGTGGCAGACCATTTTGAATGCAGCTTGGGAATCAAAGTCTTGGATGAAATCCATTTCTAGTTCCGACTCTGGATCCTCCTCCACTCCCAAAGATGGTGAAATCTCATCAAAGCTCATGACCCGAGGTGTACCACCCAAGAAGAATTTGACTCGGGCGTCGCAAGAACTGTAAGGATCCTTCTGCTGACGGAGGGTGAAGGTGTTGAAGAACTCATGCAGAGTTTCGCAAAGATGCCATCCTCAATTTTGAGGAATCGGCGCTATTGGGGGTGCTTCACAGATTCTCTCATGGGATCCCGACAGTTCAAAGCATCAAATTGTCAAAAATTTAGCCACCATGCCAGGGTACTTGAACCATGAATTACCCAAAATCATGCCACGGTGTGCTTGAGCTTAAATGTTTGATACCCATGGTGGAAATATAAGTGTGGGGGGATCTCTTTTCCTCCCAATGAGCATTATTTGATGATTGTTTCCACGTATGGTGTATGTTTGTCAGTTTGTGCAGGATGGTTAACATGGACCACCCATACCTTGTGGCACTAAGGGGCAGCCCTAAAATGGAAAGAGAGGCGTGTTTTTGCGCATCTTTGAGAGTCGGTAACCATTGGATACTCGACTTCGCCCAGTTCGAAAGGCTTCATTGTGGTGATGTTATGAGGGAGGCAGTGGTGCACCCACAATGGCACCAAGTCCTTGATCTTGAAGATGACATTTACGGGGAAATATTCGTCGAGTTTTTCAGCACCTTCACCATCCGCAAGACCCAATGCCTACTTGGTCATCCAGTACGTCGGGTCGAGTTCCGGTTGGGAGGGGAACTTCACAATTTGAGCTACGACGGATTAGCCAGAGCCCTCAGAGTGGAAGCCAAACATGAGGACGATTGGGAGGAAGACGCCATTCGAAGTTTCAACGTGAATGTCGCATTTCTGAAGTTTTGCTTTCCAAAGTACCAACAGAAAAAGTTTAAGTCGGCCCTCAAAAAGGCATCCACACTCCAACCCAATGGCGTGTCATCGTAGCAATCCTGGCTCGTTCCCTCTACCCAGCTTACCACAACCCGAACAAGAAGGGCGCACCCAGAGATTTGATGAGGGCACTATGCACTCCATGCGCTTATTGCGCACCTTTGGACCAATGCGGTACATCGAGGGATTGAGTCCTGACCCTGAGGTCCCACTACCAGTAGAATAGCCACCTGCTTGAGCACCCGGCCGCCGCCGGCTTTCAGCGTTCCAGCGCCCGGCACAGCCACCACCACCAGCAGCAGGTGATCCCCTCGTCTAGAGGGTGGATCGCCTAGAGACAAACTTCATGTGATTCTCTTCCCGCCTCGACCGACAGACTGATCTCCTCGAGCTGATGGCTCGACGCCAGGGCGTCCTCCTAGATGTGGACTATGGTCCTTCCACGCATGAGAGGTAGCTGAGACATGTGGCAGAGCCGATTTCTTTCGCCTCACTTCTCAACTTGTAACCCTTGACTTTTTTTTTTTGTTATTTTTCTTTATTTTGTGTGTGTGTGTGACCATAAACTACTACTACTATCGTATTGTGTTTATAATAACCTCGCCTCGAGCGAGTCGTATTGTGTTTGTGTGTATTTTTTGTATCTCCTTGAAGCTCAAAATATCCTACCCCAGATTCGATTCCAACTTTCACTAACCAAGCACAAGCAGTAACATCATTCTACCCCTTTCTTGCGCCATTGAGGGCAATGTCGAGTTTAAGTGTGTGGGGGGTAGTTTACTATTATGCTTGTGTGAGTGTGATTGATGCTTGGAGCCTTGATATATGCCCAAATTTCAAAAATTTGAGGGCTCCAAGCAATGTTTGCATGATCAAAGTGGCCGGTGTGTGGGAAAATCTCGTGTTTATTGCATTGACCTAGAATTGTTGCATGTGATCGAGTATATCCGATGATGATGACTGAGAGGTCCATTAGGATAGTGAAAACGTTTAGTTCTCATGTGTGCATAAATGAATGTATGTCTTGACTCGATTACTTGTTGATTATAATTGCCATGCATTGTGTTTGTGAATTGAAATAGATGTTTGGGTGACTAGGTAGCCATGTGAGCTTTGAGCCGATCGTTTTCTTCTTGTGTGATCAGATCCCTCTTACCATGGTGTGTAACATCATAGTTGTCACTAGTAAGTATGATGGAGGCATAGGATTAGTCCACAACCAAATGTTGATTTTCTCGAAATGTGTTATCCACTAGTCAACCCCTTTGAGTCTCGTGACTTCGAGGGTCGTTCTTAAGTTAGGAGCTCCGTGCTTGTGAGCTTAATGGTGTTGATAGAACGACCCCGAATCCTTTCTTCGTGTCTAAACATGAGTCATCCTTGTGTCCCAGAGCTCTCCCTTTTGAGTTCCATAGAGGTTCTACATAGGAGGTTTGTGTGCGGTTCTTGCTAGGAATGAAAAATGAAGTGTAGTGTTGGAGTGAGTTCCTCAAAAAGAGAGCATTGGTCGTTAATTGCGTAGGTGGTAAGTGTTTTTACTCTCTAGTACTCCCCCTTGAAAAGAAAAGAAAAGAAAAAGAAAGAAAAGAAAAGAGAAACGAAAGAGGTAATAAAATGGGGTAAATAAAGTAGAGAGTGCCATGAAAAACCAAAGTGTATGCTCTAGGAGGGGTTTCTTGGCACTCAAGCCATTGAGAGTGAGTGATTCATTCTTGCTTTGCATGTCATATCATACCCCGGTGAGGACCTTGGTTGCCTTCCCATTTGTTCCTTAGACTTGGATTCCATGCATGGTTAGTTGTGGTTGATAAGTGGTTTCGATGAGACTTGCATTGATCCATGAACAAGGCGGGAACTTTTCGTTTGCCCATTTTTGGTGGCTTCGAATGTCGTTTGTGGTGGATGTCGGTATTGCTTGCAACGGTCCATGTGTTAATTGCCAATGGCCATTGAGAATTCCCACTTTGTGCCTTTGAGTTGTCCCAAGAGTATTTGTGTAGGTTGAAATATAACTTTGTGTGAAATGGTTTGCTTGGGGACAAGCAAACGTCTAAGTGTGGGGGAATGATTCGGGCCTAATTGTACATGTTTTCCTTAGGTGTTTGTGGCAATTTCGCTCCTAAAAGGGTGGTTTAACGCTAGGTTTCTCGTGTTTTAGCATGTTTCAGGATTTAACAGGTGAAACCAACCCCGGAGTCGAAAGTTGGACGAAAAGGAACGAAAACCGAGAGAAGAGGTGAAAAACGGCGAGTCCACGATTTTTCTTGGATGTTCACAGTCTTGTATAACCGCGAAGAAGAGATGTTGCTCGTGAACGTCGAGGCATCCAGAGCATTTCCAGAGGTTACTGGCCCTAGGCGAGTTCACGGTCATTAAGACCGTGAACTGGAGCTGTGGACCGTGAACACGTGCAAGCAAAGCGGTGTGCTTTGGAGCAAGCCTTGAGTTCACGGACGCGTTTCAGAGTTCACAGCCATGAACTGAGCTCGTTCCCTGTTTAAAAAATGAGTTGAAAGGAAGAGAGAGGAGAGAGCCCATTTGAGTGAGAAATTCTTCTTCAGATTTTAGAGAGAGAAAGACGAACCAAAGGAGAAGGAGGCTAGGGTTTTGCTCCAAGAGTGAATTTGGGAAGATTCTCCCCAAGAGAAGTTCAACACAAGTGCCAAGAAGATTGGAAGCCTCCTTCATGATGGTTTCTACCTCTTCCCCCTTGTGTTTCTCCCATTTCTAGCATGGAGTAGATTTCTTTTTCACTTGGGTGTTGTGAAACCCTAGCTAGCTACCATGTAGTTTTCTGTTATGTGAATTTTATGATTGTTTATGGGTGTTGTTTAATTCAATGATTGAGGTATTATGCATGTTGATTGTGCATGTTTGTGCATAGCAATCTAAGGATTGTGCATGTTGGTGCTTAGCAATCTAAGGTTGTGCATGTTTGTGCTAGCAATCTAAGTAGCCACTTAACCTAGATTAGAGAGGAAACCCCCCCCCCCCCCCCTTCCATGGGAGACTCAATTGAGTTGGTATTCCTAGAGATTTTTAAGTCTCCTAACTAGGTTAATTTAGGGCAAACCTCAATGTTGGATTAATCAATTTGGTTAAGCGCAATTGAGCCTTCCAACCCTTGGGTTGAGTGAGGGAGTAAGTCAACCATTGATTGCCTAAATCGAGAGGGTAGAGTGACAGCCTATAATGTATTCCTCGGTTTAGCAATCGTGAGTGTGTTCTACGACCATATTTGCATCCCCTAGCGGTTTGCGATCACCTTGCCCATAGCAATCATTTCAATTCACATACCATGGTAGTAGTTAGGGGGAAGCGACACCCGAGTGATCCTTCTCGCTGTAACACCCCGAATTTTAGGTTCAGGTTCGACCATAATAAATGAACGGTTGGATGGATGGTGTACGAAAAACTCCAATCAAACCAAATCAGGTTAAGGATTAAGGCCTAATTTATTGATGCAACCCAAATCAATCATTGCCTGGCATAAGGGTTCAGCCGTGAAGTAAATTAATAATAATAATAATAGTTAATAATAATAATATTATTATTATTATTATTATGTTAAAGGGGTTATGAACGTGTTGATGGGATTCACTCAAACCGGACTTGCAAATAGGCAATGTGGATCGTTATGGTAATGATTTTGAGTAACGTCAAAGGAATAAAGGCCAACATCTCATTTTGGAGACCGGAGTGAGCAATTAGGCCCGTCCATATATAAAAGGTAGTTGTAGGATGAGATTGAGTGAATACCGCTTGCCTGGTTCTGAAGTGCTTAGCGAACCCAAACCCAAATATACAGAATTTGTTAGCCACGGTTAGAGGTGAGGGCAATTATACTAGGGTTAACTTTTATATATATATGGCATCAGAATTCAGAATGGGAGGGCTTTTGATCTGCCGCCTACCGAAACTTTAACACATGCAAAGTTCTTCGGAGGTCGATCTAAGTGTCCTGTCTGAGAAGCGCATCCTACAGGGCGATCATTGGAGATCAGCCCTCAGCCACTCCATTTCGGTTGAAAATCAGCACACGGCGGGGACACAAATTTCATGCTGGGTATTCTCGGTAACCTCTTCAACTGAAGCTCGTTGGAAATTGACTGAGCTGTGTTGTTATAGCATGGGAAGGGAAATATTGATTAATTAATTAGACAAGGAATGGTTGCAGTGGCTGGATCAATTAGTGGGCATTGGGGGATATGCGAAAGCGGTGTAAGTCGAGGAGAGAACGGAAGCCAAAGCATTTTCATTCCAGGGGAAGGATAGGATTGCAATGCAATGCAATGGTGACCGAAAGCACAGGTAGAGGGATGTGCACGTGAATGCTTGGAAATAATTGGTTTGTGGTTTCAAATCGGAGTATGGGTTTAGGGATTGATTTGCCATGCTTAGTACAGGTGGTGTAATTCTCAATGGCCATGTCCATCAGGGGAACGAGTAAAGTGAATGTGATATGTGGCAATTAGTCATGGTTTATCACATAGCATCATGTTAGAAAGTACATGCGAGAGACAGTGTTACGGACAACACTTGCTAGCTAATTTCAAAGCAGACATATGGTTAACAAGGTGGGTGTAAAGGGGGTAAATTCTACGTCTTACGTGTTCTTCAAGTATTTTCCTTGAGTATTTTCGAGTATTGATTTACATGATGTATGTGCAGTATTTGATTCATGTTTGAGACTGCATGATTATGTTTGATGATATGTGTTTTGGTTGATCTATGATTTGAAGTGAATTGTGGATGAGTTTATTTCTTACTTGAAGCTTTACGTTTATGAGTTAGTGTTAAAGTTAAGAACAAGTACTTTTTAAGAAGTAGCCCACTTTCAAGAAGGTGAAGTTGTTTTAAGTATTTTTAGTCACTAGCGCCAGTCCGTTGCCATTTGAGATTTTCAGATAGAGCAGCAGATATGCTCTTGAGACTTTTAAGATGAGCAGCAGTTATGCTCTTGAGATATTTTAAGATGAGCAACAGTTATGCTCTTGAGAATCGTGGAAGAAGAGCCTTCCACGATAAGTTTAAGTTTAAGGAAAGCCTGGATGGCTTCTCATACGTATGAGTTGGCAACAGGACTAGCTAGTGAGGGATCCCCGTGTCAGTCAAGAATTTAAGTGGAGATTTGAGCTTTAAGAGTATAGTTATTAAGAGTTAAGCTTTTTAATAGTGGAAGTACAAAACAACTTTCACTCAGTTAAGTAAAGTGTTCAAGTATTAATAAGATGTTAAACGTAAGGGCATAGACTGACCCCATCTCACTCACCAGTTTGAAGAGCTAGAGGAGGAGCTAGAGGAGCAGTTAGTGAGCAGCGAGTTCGAGGGTAGCCAGCTAGAGGATGGCAGTATAAGCGTCACAGAGGATGCTTAGTCAAGGTTTCAGTAGCAACAACATTAGAGATTATTAGTTATTTACATTTATGATTATGAGTATAGACTGGAGATCATTTTGAGTTTTTAAGTATTGAGTTTGCCCCTGTGTTAGGGCGTTGCTTTAAATTACAAGTGCGTGTTTTCAGTATTTTATTTAGTAAAATTTTCCCAGTTGCAATTTAAGATTTGGGTATTTTATTTATCAAGGGCAATTTAGTAAAATTAGTGCTCGGCCGAGCTAGGGTGTTACACTCGCAAAAGAGCTTTCAAAACCATTCACTTATGTCTAGCTTTATTTTAATTAGCAAACTTTTCAACCAAAATCTTGTTGCTAGATAATGATTCGAATGACTGAAGTAGGGGTACACGGACCGGCCCAGGTTGATATTTAAACATACTTATCCTGTACTGCATCCGACTAAGGTTTGTACTTGGACCTTAGGTGGGAAATTTATGTGGTATTCGGGAATTTATTGTGGTATTCGGGGCCAAAACTTGAAGAGCAACCATTCGGCTCACGACGTTAAAGAAACTCTTGGTGGGAGGCAACCCAACTATCAACGGTGTGTTTTCTTTTGGCTTCGATAAGTCGACCTTTGTTTTGCCGCCTCCTAGCTCTTCCGGATCTCACCCACCCTCCGCTCCCAAACACCAACATTCACCACTTTCCGGTAACATTGTTCTACTTCCCTATTTTACGCAATTGAGGGCAATGACGAGCTTAAGTGTGGGGGAGTAGTCTATTACGCATGTGTGTGTGAATGTTTGGTGAGATTTTGAATGCTTGGAGCCTTAATGTATGCCCAAATTTTTAAAATTTGAGGGCTCCACTGGTCGAGAGTGAGCAATTCTTCATCATGTTTTGTTCATTTCTTTTATTCCGGTGAGGACCTAGGTTGCTCGATCATTCGTTCCTGTGATGTGATCTTCATGAATGAGTAACTGTGATTGGTGAGTCGTCGAGGCATGTTGTGTGTTGGTTGATGAATAATGTGAGAACTCTTCTTTTGCACAATCTTAATACAGTTGAATGTCGTTTGTGGCGATTGCCAAGACTACTTTGTTTTTGTCCATAGGTCGGTGTCAAATAACCATTGTGATTCATTCATTTTGTGCCCCAGGACATGCGCCAAAAATTGTGTTGAAAAAGAAGTTGTAAGCTTACCCTGTTTTGTACTTGGTTTGCTTGGGGACAAGTAAAACGTCTAAGTGTGGGGGCGACTGATTCGGGCCCAAATGTACACATTTTACCACTCATTTCTTATTCGTTTAGCTTATTATTTCATTGTTCCTCGACATATTTCATGCTAGGTTGTGCTTGTTTTGATACATTTTAGGTCCTAGCACGTGTGGAATGGTCGAGGACGAGTTTTGGGATAATTGGAGGTCAAAAAGCGGCGTCTAGGAAGCAGCCGCAGTTCACGGTCAAACAAGGGAGTTCACAACGGTCTCCTAAGACCGTGAAATGGAGCCACAAATCGTGAACATCGAGCAGCCCAGCGAGGTTTCAGAGGTTACTGATGGCAATGCAGTTCACGGTCATAGCCATTGACCATGAACCCCAGAAGCGAAGCGGTGCGTTTTGGAGACGACTGAGTTCACGGACGCGTTTAGGTGTTCACAACCGTGAACTGATCACTTTCGGGCAAATATGAAGACAGCAGCGGGGAGAGAAGGGGGAGCTGGTTTTGGAGACAGCAGCGGCAAATATGAAGGCGACCGTGAAATGGAGCCACAAATCGTGAACATCGAGCAGCCCAGCGAGGTTTCAGAGGTTACTGATGCCAATGTAGTTCACGGTCTCTAAGACCGTGAACTGGGCCATTGACCATGAACCCCAGAAGCGAAGCGGTGCGTTTTGGAGATGACTGAGTTCACAGACGCGTTTAGGTGTTCACGATCGTGAACTGATCACTTTCGGGCAAATATGAAGACAACAGCGGTGAGAGAAGGGGGAGCTGGTTTTGGGAGAAGAATTAGTTTCTTTCTCTAGGGTTTGAGAACAAAACACCAAAAGGGAGTTCTAGTGAGAGTGATAGAGTGATCTTGGAGCTAAATTGGAGGCTTGGGTTGATCTTGAAGACAAGGATTCAAGCCTAGAAGAAGAAGAAGAAGAAGAAGAAGATCTTGAGCTCAAATTTGTAATCCCTCTATTCTCTTGGTTTTGAGAACCCTAGATCTAGATTTGGATTTAATCTTGATGTATGTGACACATTCCATGTTTGATTGATAATTTTACTTAATTGATGGATGTTTTCATGAATGACATGAGTTGGGTTTCCATTTTCATGTATTGAGCTTTTGACCTAGGATGGAGAAAATCCCCTTAGAGCCCATTCTTGGCGTCTTCGGGTCGCTCCTCACCCTATATCATCCAGGTAAACCCCGAGGAGTCGATTCCATCAATCTCCTACAATATAGGGTTTTCCTAGGTTGAATAGAGCCTACCACATTCATTGATTTGCCGTTTAGGGTCATTCCTGAGGGAGTCAACTTCTTACCCCATATCGTCCAGGTTATCCCTGAGGGAGTCGATTGGACCGAGCTCCTATGATATAGGGGTGTCCTAGGTTGAATAGAGCACCACTCGTCCATCGTCACCGTTTCGTGTCCGTCCCGAGGGAGTTCATCTCCTAATGTTAGGATAGTGGGTCGATCAAGCTAGGATGGTACTCAACATCGATCCAAAGGTCGAAAATAGGGGGATTTAAACCAACAGAGCTCCAAACTTTGTAAATAGCTAGGTTAGTGGTTAGTCTAGGTTAGTTAGCTTAGTTTTATTAATCACTGTCCTTAGATGGGTGCAATATAGGGCAAGTATGCTTAAATATCAACCTGGGCCGGTCCATGTACCGCTACTTTGACTATTTGAAACATTATCTAGCAGATCGGTTTCGGTGAAAACAAAGATTGAAAACTAAATTACTTTGTAAAGGCAAAATGGATTTGACTCTAGTTGAGAAAGCTTCACCCGGGTGTTGCTCCTTTAGCTAACAACTATGACTCGAAGAATTGAACGATCTTGTGTGGTTAGGGGGTAATAAACCGCAGGGAAGTCTAGCAAGCAACCAAAGTTACCCTCTTAGATTCTAGGTTGAGGAATGGGATACGATCCAACCTAACCCACTAATGTGACCCTCTCAATCTATCGACTAAGGATTAGTTAGACTTCACCCTCAAATTGGAGTTCGGACGGCCACCCACAATCAAATCCTAAGTGTTTAATACGAATTAGGAGGTTTGCCCTCAAACTAACCTAGACTAGGATGCATAGAATGCCCAAAGAAATCCATCTCTAGAAGAGCCTCTTATGTTAATGGGGTTTCTCTTTAAACTAGGTTAGAATGTCAATTAGATTGATAGGCTTTCACATAATACAATCATTTCTGAATAATACCTCCACATTCACATTAAAACACATCCACGCACAAATCATTCAATTCATACAAGCATTCACATAATTGTAGCTAGGGTTTACAAACACCCAAGTGAAATAAGGGACTACTCCATGCTAGGAGAAGGGAAAACACAAAAGAGGGGAAGGAAAACCATCATTAAGAGGAAAGCCTTACTTCTAGTGCTGAAGAAAACCCAAATCCTTGCTTGGAGATCAAACCCTAGTTTTTCCTCTTCTTTGGTTCGTCACTTTCTCACTCTAAAATCTGAAGAAGGAGAAGTTTTCTCACTCTAGGTCTCCCCCTTTTTTCTTCCTTTCAGCTCCACAATTAAACCTAGATCGAGCTGAGTTCACGGCCTTCCAGTTCACGACTGTGAACACCTAAACGCGTCCGTGAACTCAGTGTCGTGTCCAAAACGCACCGCTTCACTCTTTAGGGTTCACAGTTTCCACTCAAAGTTCACGGTTTTAGAGACCGTGAATTGCCTGGTCGTCAGTAACCTCTGGAACCCTCCTAAACACCTCGTTGTTCACGGTTTGTGGTTCCAGTTCATGGCCTTAGAGTTCGTGAACTGCAGCTGATTCCTCCTCTTTGCCCGGTCTTCGCTCCATTTCTTCCAACTTTCGACTCCGGGGTTGGTTTCACCTGTTAGGATCTGAAACACACTGAAACACACAAAACCTACCGTAAATCAAACCTTTTAGGAGTTCAAATGTCACAAACGTCAAGTGGAAACGGGGTAAAAAGTATACAATTAAGCCCGAATTAGTTGGAACAATATCAAACGGCCTATTGTCACTAACGCACCTTGACCT